GGCCACTACTGCTGAGCCTGCCTGTCCCCTCCACGGACAGCCCCCGGCCCCTGGATGTGAGTGGCCCCAAAACCGGGCCAGTGCAGTGGGAGGTCCCAACGGCCACCCGGGGCCCCTGCTCCCTTAGCCTCTGCTCACCCCTGGAAGAAGAAACCGCCCCCTCACCGGTGGCCCACGCCCAGGGAGGGGCCCAGACACCCAGCTGGCCCAGCACCCCTCGTTCACGCGACCTTCTGCCACGCCCCTCCGCCTCTCTAGGCCACAGGCAGGCGAGCCTTTGCCCCCGTGTTCGACTCAAGATCAGCTGATGCCACTCCAAGGCTACAGATGGGGACACAGTGGGGGGGGGGCAGGGAGGCGGGGGGAGAGCTGAGGTGCAGCGGCCCACACACGGGGCACTGACAAGCACCCGCAGCTCGCTGAGCCGCCGCCTCCCTGCCAGGTGAAGGGCAGGTACCAGGCACGTGGCTCCCCAAGGGCCATCCTCCCTGGCCCCTCCCTCGCCCAGCCAACAAGGTCACAGGGAGCCCCAAACACCCCAAACACGGAGGAAGGTGCTTCCCTCCCTCCCCTCCTCCCTCCCTGTCACTCATCCGCTCGTTCACCTGAGCTAAACTCGATGTGACCGTTGTATTCGTGGACGCAGAAGCACAGCTTTAAATTCACCATAGCCCTCAGCGCCTGAAGGCCCCCTGCAAAGTCCCCTGTATTCATTCATTCACTCACACAGTGTGTTCATCCCGCCTTCCTTTCCTCATCACTTCCTCCCAAACCGCACCTTCCTCCCCTGCGCTCCCTCTTCCTTACGCTCTGCCACCCTTGCAGAGTCCGGCGCACAGCGGGGCAACCCGGTGCCCGGGAAACAGCCTCTCCGGTCCAGGTGGCTGCGCCCCTCACCCACCCGCTCACTCCCTCCTCCACTCGCTCGCTCGCCTGTCCTTTCTTTCTTATTGAGGGTGGGGTGTTTTTGCTCTTTTCTTTTTTTTTAACCAATTAGGTCTCCTGTGCAATAACTGCATTAGTCAAAGCCCCACGTGCGAACTAAACACGACGGCCCGCGCCCTCATTTGCATCCGCAATCTATCTTCCGGCACTTAGTCCCCTTTTGCAGTGCGCACTCGCTCTTTTATTTATGGGCCCCGGTGGCGCGTGTTTTATTGCCGTGCGTGTTCTGGGCCGGTGCCGCCTCGGTTTTTCACTTCCCTTGAAAGGTGTGTTTATCTCCTTAAGGAGCACGTATGTACACCAATTACAATCCCCGCTCAGACAACCTCTCTTAACTCACCATTTGTCTCTCTGCTTGTTTGTTTGTTATCTTGCCTTTTTCGCTTTTTTTTTTTTTAATTCTCATTTTCCCTTGGCCCGGACTCAGGATGGAGCGGCCTCATCCATCCTGGGGACAAACGATGCCCGTGTTCCAGCCCCAACAAGCCCTCCTCTGGAAGGCGCACCCACGCCGCCTCCTGTGGGGGGTTGGAGGGGGTCCTTCCCGGTCACTTGGTTTCATTGCGCCCTTCCTCCTCTGACCCCTCGGGGGCTGTTTCCTGCACCCGCCCCCACTGGGGAGGCGCAGGCGCCCGGGGTGGGCACTCCCAGGTCCAGTCATCCTTCCCGTGACTCCTCTCTCTCGCTCTCTGTCCTCTTACGTGGGGGGGCCTCAGGCCCCCAGAGGGGGACTGACTGTCGCCTGTGGTTCCCGAGCCTTCTCGGTGCCCACCCGTGGGGTCCTCTGGCTCACTAATTCCCGGTACTGGCACTCGACTCTAGGGGTCATTCCACGATCTCTAGAGCCCACTTTTCCATCAGCCACGATTCTGGGTCGTGGTGCCATCCCATTTCCTTTTTTCCAGCGTGGCCCCCTCTCTCATGTATTCATACGCATCCATGAACGTGCACAGATATACACAGGGTCTGCTGGGCCCTGCGTGTATGTGAACATTCATATATGATGACACGTTTTCCTTATTTCTCCCTTCCACTCTCTCACTTCTTCCTTTCTTACGCTCTTTCATCCTTGGAGCTCAGTTCCCGAGGACAGAGAATCCCACCGCGCCTGCCAACACCCGCCCGGACCCAAAGCCTCAGTGCCGACAATTCTGTCTGCGCGTCCTTCCATTCGTCAGTCCTTCCTTCCTTCCTTCCTTCGTTCCATCTTGTTTTCTTCCTTTTTCTGTTTTTCATTAGTTTTTTAATTGCTGTTTTAGTACAGTTGTCCCCATTTCCACCCAGCCCCACCCCGCCCTCCCCCTCCCCCTCAGACGTCTACTCCTCTGTGAGTAGTGGGGTGCAGCGCCCAGCCTGGGACCGGCTGTGACCCGCAGTCCTCCAGGGTCCCACGTCACCATTCCCAGCCTCACCCTCTCCTGGGGCTCTACCCATCTGTCCATTTGGTCCTTGTCACCTTTTATCCTTCCTGTCCCTCTCCGGCCACTGCTCTCTGCACAGCCCCACCGGTCTCCCCTGCCCCCTCTCACTCCCAGAGAGCCCCCTCCTCCCCGAGGGAGCTCCCAAGGGCACCCCCGCCGCCAGCTCCTGAGGAGAGCGGGGCCACGCCTGCCCCCACCCCGTCCCGTTTCCGTTTCCGTAGCCTCCTTACTTGTTTATTTGGATCCTCACTATGTTGTCCACAGTCCCGAGGCTCTGGACTTGAACTTACCCTAAGCCTTCACTCACGGCCCTCCCTAGCCCCTCCTCCTAGCTGCAGTACACCCAGTAACGTACTTCGGTGCCTGACATCTGGAGCTTTTCCTCCCATAGTTCTGGAGCCGTGGTTAGATTCTCTCTTTCTTTATTCTCTCCCTCCATCGTCCTCTCACAGCACAGAACCCAGCTCCTGGGACGGGCGGCTCAACCGGAGACCCTCGCGCCACGCTGCCCCCCGGGGCCAGGCGCTCACTGCACTGCGCGCTCGGGCACTCTCCTGGGGGTGGGGGGTGGGGGAGCTTTCTTCCCTGGTTATTTATTTATTTCTGTGTGTCCAGAACTTTTAAAAAAAAGCCCTTGGCTCAAGTTAACTCTCCTCTTTGGCCCCCTGGTTCCTCTCCCTTTCTCACTGTTCTTTTCACTCTTTCTCCGTTTCTCTTCCTGCGCCAGGAGCGCCTGCGTGGAAGACTGGTCCCCGGCTCAGCTTACAGGAGCCCGACGCGGCGCCCCTTACAGTTACCGGCCACCTAACCTTTAAAAACCCTTCTTCCTATCCCTGGCTGGCGTAGCTCAGTGGATTGAGCACGGGCTGCGAACCAAAGTGTCACAGGTTCAATTCCCAGTCAGGGCACATGCCTGGGCTGCAGGCCACGACCCCCAGCAACCGCACATTCATGTTTCTCTATCTCCCTCCCTTCTCTCTCTAAAAATAAATAAATAAAATCTTTTTTTAAAAAATCCTTCTTCCTGTTATTTATCACTGTGTTTCCTTCCATCATCTTCTTCCTCCCCTTCAGTCGCCCGCCCCTCCCTCCTGCCTCCTTCCATCTTAAGGGGCTTCCTAATCTCACCCCCACCCTCGGGCTGTGGTTTTGCTCCATGAGGCCTTTCTCTCCACTTTTTCACTTTTTATTTTTCGGACAAAAAGCCATGCCTAACACACGTGCACACACACACATCTTTGCAAGGCTGGAGACGCGTGCACACCGAGAGCCTCCAGCACAACCTGGGGCGTCAGCCTGTGGAACATCCAAGAGCCTCCCCCCACCCTTCCGTCCATTGTCACCGTCGGTGAGGAGAACGCTTTCCGCAAAAGATACGCCTTTAGCAAATGTTCACACGTGCAACACAGCACTGTCACCATTTGTGTTGGGTTTGTGCATTTCAAACGACTGATTCTCCCTTTCATTTAACGTTTATTGTTCTGTTGAAAACTTGAGGTGCCGTGTATTTAAACCGTACACATTCCTCAGTCCCCACCGACCTGATATCGGTTCGCGTGTGGCCTTCCTGACACACTGATCTGACACTTTATTGACGTGTGTATGATCGGTCTCCTGTGCACCACGCTGGACCTGTGCAGCGCACACACTCAGGCCGGCCCACTCACCTTGTTACCTGTCCACTCACCTCGTTACCTGTCCACTCGTTTGTCCGCCACTTCGTGCTCCCGTGCGTTTGTTCTTTCAATTATTTGGACCACGTAATAGAGACAGTACCAGCCACATGGCCTCCCAACCGACACACACGATTTACCACCGTATTCGAGCCCTCCACCCGAGTTCACCACCAGGACCGAGGTGCAGGTGCAGACTCAGCCGTGCCCTCCCGGGGCTCGCACCCCAGACCAGCCGGGGGCACCCCAGAGGGGCCACCCTCGTGGGAAGGCAGTTTCCGGACAGGGGAGTGCACAGAGTTGGCAACGCCTCCCTGGCGGGACACACCGGGGATGGGGCCGTGTCTGAACCGTCAGCTGTGTGTGCAGCAACATGAGACCATGTCGGCCTCTCGGGGCCAACACGGAAGGAGGTACCCGTGTTACCGCCCCTGAGGGTCTCAGCCCCAAACGACAGGGAACTTGAAGAGGGCGAGCCGGACAGTGTGAAGGCGGAGACGCTGCCCGTTCTGGCTCCCAGGCGTCTCGGGGGCTGAGCGAGCTCGTCGGAGCTGACACCCGTGTCCTAGGCAGGCCCCGCCCCACCGCAGCCCAAGGCCGGTCCCCGGCCTGTGCAGGACGCGTCCCTCCCAGTCCGCCCCACGGCACAAGGGGCCACAGGACACTCCGAAACCAGAGGACCGTTCCCTCAGTGTGGAGGCGCGGGGGCGAGAGAGGAGAAAGTCTGGTGGCCTGAAGCCGCCCAAGGAACTGAATTCTCCGCTACGACACACGGATTCCAGGGGTCCTGCCTTCGGACACCGGCCCCCATGCCCGCGCTGGACTCGGCCAGCTGGGCACCCCCTCCCCACGAGCGGACCACCCGCCTGTGCCCACCCGTCCCGCCCACGAGGCGCGTCTGGCAGTGTCCCCCCCTCCCACGGACGACCCACGGATGTGTGCCCGCGCTCTAGGGACTTACGGTTCTTCAGGGGCGGGGTTGGGGGCGGGGGTGGCGTCCGAGGTCCCTTCCCACGAAGGAGTCCGGGGGCGGCTTCGGCTGCAATGACAAAGCAATGGTCACTGGACGGAACCTCACCCACCTGGCCCAAGCAGGGGCTCCTCAGCCCCCTGGACGTGGTGAAACTGAGAGAAGCTCTTGCAGTTCACAGGGGCACGTGCCTTGGGCCTCCCAGATGCTGCTTCCCCTAACTAGTTGCTTTTATATATTAAAAAAAAAACTAGAAGTCTTTTTTTTATAAAGTGCAAGTTTTTTTTGTTTTGAAGATTTTATTTATTTATTTTTAGAGAGGGAAGGGAGGGAGAAAGAGAGAGAGAGAGAAACATCAACGTGCGGTTGCTGGGGGCTGTGGCCTGCAACCCAGGCATGTGCCCTGACTGGGAATCGAACCTGCGACACTTTGGTTCGCAGCCCGCGCTCAATCCACTGAGCTACGCCAGCCAGGGCCAAACTAGAAGTCTTTTAAAAGCAAGTGCTGATGGGCAGTTACCAGCTTGTGGGCGACCAAGAGCAGACTCTGGTTTTCTGAAGGCCCTGGGGCCTCCAGTTTGTGCCAGATACCACCTGGGGCGTGGCTGTCCCTCCCCAGCAGCGCCCCCGGCGACTCTGGAGCCACCAGCTGCAGCAACAGGGACCGGAGACACTGCCACTCCTCACAACAGGAGCCGGGGAAGTCCTTCAGGGGTGGGCTCTGATTTCGTCTCTCTGGTATGTTCATGGGACTGGCGAACCCCAAAGCAGCCTCCTGCTTCTGCCCTGGGGCCCCCGGGGGCCCCCCAGAATTCCTGACTGCCCCGGATTAATGTCCCTGCAGACCCCAGGCTGCCCAATGAAGATGCAGCCCCGGTTTCAAAGCTGCGCGCTCCAGCCCCAGGTCTGCCGGGCGAGTTAGTGACACAGTGCCGGGCTGCCGTCTTAGCGAAGCCGTCGGAGAAGCAAGTGGCAGAGAGGAGAACCTGCCTGGGGCCAACGGGAAACACGAAGGCCTCCTCACAGGGTCCCGGGGAGCGACTGCCACACACCTGTGCTCGGAGACCTCACCAACGCGGGCGCACTGAGCTCCCCATCCACGCAGGTAGTGCAGGCGGGCCCGGCGACCACACCCTCCACGGCTCACGGGCACTGGAACATTCTAGCTTAAACTCCCAAGGTTTTTTAAAGCCACTGTTTTCGAGAGGCAACCAGGGCCTCCTTGATCGGACCCGTCTGTGGTACATTTAGGGCGGGAAAGACAGGAAAAGCCCATTTCTAACGCAGTGACCATCTCCAGAAGTAGAGCCTGCAGCTCACACACACCGTCAGCCCCGCCTGCTTCCCACCTGCTGCGTGCAGCCCGCCCTCCTAGGACTCCCCGACCAACCAGAGGCCTTGGCGGGGCTCAGTTCCTGTCCCTTTGTGGAGATGGGGGTCCCTGGGCATGACGGGCCTATTTATGAAAATGGGAGAGGTAGTTGGGACATCTTTTGAAATCCTGCCCCCTCTGCCTCGCCGCCAACCCCCCCACCCCCCAACAAGCCATCTAACTCCAGCTGGCCCGCTGCAGAGGGTGTTGACATGTGCGTCTTTCCGGAACCGCGCTCTCCGCGAGGGAGGGGCGATTAGCGAGAAGCGGGGCTGTGCGGGCGCAGGGGCCCGGGGGATGGAGGGGACGGAGGGGACGGCAGACGCAGCCTTGCGAAAGGCAGGCTGCTGGTCTGCTTGAGGCTGGCGAGGCTTCTGATCCCTCAGTTCGGCTCGCAGGTATCGTAGTGACCAAGGTCACCCCACAGGGGCTCCACACAGGGTGCGCCCCCCGCCCCCAGGCAGTGACCCGGTGCATGCCTGGCGGAGGGGTCCCCGCACACGGAAGCACAGAGAGGTGGCGGGGGATGACAGCGGAGCCAGGGCGGCCACGGGCAGGCACGCCCGTGGCTCGAGTCCGGCCCCTGACCGCTTTTCCAGAAGCTGCCGCCCGGATGGCTTTTTCAGGAAGGCCTCCGCTGCGCGGGCCAGGGCGCCAGCGGGGGCAGGGCCGAGCGTCCCGTGGCCCAAAGGCACAGGGTGAGCCACAGGGGAGGGTGCAGCCGGCCACACCCTCCCGGGACGGCAGCCAGGGGCCAGTCCCATGACACAGTGACCGCTCTGCAGCCCAGAGAGGCTTCCAGATCTGGCCGGCGGCCCACGTGTTTGGGAAAAGTCTCCGGAAAACGCGGTCCTGGCACCGAACTGCCCCGTGGAGCCGTGTGGGGGGCGGGAGCACCACGACAAGCAGTGTTCACAGGCTGACGGGGGGGGGCCTGCTCACCACTGCCGCCCCACAACACAGCGGGACGCGCAGCCGGGCCCACCACGTTGGCCTCGGGTTTCCTCATCTGAACAGTAGACCCCCCTAGAGGGAGTAGACCCCCCTAGAAAGCTGGGGACCAGGGATCTCAGCCCCTAATCCTGAAGACCCAGCAAATAAACAAACACACCACAGGTGACCACGGTGGCTGCCGGAAGGACCCCGAAGCTCCTAAGGCCCCCCGATTGCGGAAACGTGGCACTGCTCCACTTTACAGATGGGAAAACAGAGGCCCAGAGGGCTGGAGGCAGGGGCCAAGGTCACCCGCAGTTGGTGTTGTGCATGGGCTGGGACCAGGTGTCTAGAAGGCCTCTGGGGCTGCCACCTGACCTCGGGTCCCAAGTAGCAAGGGGTGTGGCCTTCACCCCACAGCCCAGCCAGGAGACTAGTGGGGGCCCAGCCGGGACACTTGGGACCTGTGTCGCTCCCTCTCCGGTGAAATGGGGCCCTGGCCTTCCCAGTAGGGACGTCCCGGGCCCCTCCCACCTTACGCAACAGGCAGGCCCGACAGGCTGCTGCACCCACTTCCCAAACAGGAGGGCCGGGGCCCCGAAGCCGGTGCTAGCTGGGACACGGGGCCGGACGAGTCTGGACCTCCTTCCTCTGAGACGAGCACCGGCTCCTGGCTCCCTGGCCCTCCGGGCAGCGTGGGCAGTGGTGGCACCGAGTGTCCTCCCTCCAGCTCAACGGGTCCCCTTTCTCAGGATGCCCCCATTGAGCCCTGAGCCCCGACTTCTCAGCCTGGCAGGAACGACTCTCTCCACCCACGAGGTGACCCCCAAAAGAGGGCCGGAAAGGCAGCAGGGCCGTGCAGCCGCGGTCCCGGATGGCCAGCACAGATGTGCGGCCAGCTGCTGGCCCCTGATGGAGCTCCTCCCCCAACTTTCCATCCTGGGCTCTGTCCCCCGGCCCTACTCCGTGTCCTGGGCTGTCTGTCGGGCGTCAGGCCCGGTTTGATCCAGCTCCTGTTCGCGGGCACAGCCTCGGCTCCTTCCTCCTGAGAAACTCACAGAAAGAAAGCCCTCGCACCAGGCGCAGGGGCTCGGCCAGGCCCGGCCACGCCGCTAGGGCGGCCGGCGCAGCGTGCCGTCGTGCAGCCTCGGGTCCGCGCCTCGGGAGGCGCCCACAAGGGCCAGGGGCCCCCGGGGGCAGCGGCCCCCACAGGGGACACACACACACACACTCCCACACCCGCCTCCTTCTCCGGGGAAGGTAATTGAGGTTCGCTTCTTTTCATCTGAAGAAAAGGCACCTTCTATTGAAAGCGCGTATTCAGAGACCTGGGAACGCTCATCTGCGCTCGGCCCTCCCAATTATCCCCAGGTGGCTGTCCCCCACGGGGGCTCCCCCACATTCCTTTCTGCCCACGCCTTTGTTCCCGCCTGAACGGGCCCTGGGAGCCCCCGGGCTAAGAGTCTCCTCCTTAAGCCCCTGCCAAAGACCCTATTCACGGCGCGGAGAGAGGCCAGGGGAAAGGTGGTGGGGAGCCTTCCTTTGCCCCGACCCCCAGGGTGGAGGACTTAAGAAGTCTCCATCTGGATTTTTTTCTAAGCCCAAAGAAATTGGAGAGCAATTAAGAGAGTCATGACTACACTCTCCGCCGGCCTCTGCCTTAATTAACTCCTCTCTCACACACGCCCCCCCCCCGCCCCGAGTTGGGGCCCACCCCGGCCTCAGCCACCCAGCACCTGCTCCGCTCACTGGTCCCTGCGACCACCAAGGTCTTAAGGGGGAAGGGAGCCGAGGAGACAATTACGGATGTGCCCGGAGACTTCCTAATCACACTTAGTTCCCGAAACAGGGGCCGGGGCGATCGGCTTTCTAACGAAGGCTGGAACACGAGACCCAGGGTCCCCAAACCGGAAAGCTCAGGAAAGCCCCGGATGCCCGGGCACCTGGCGGCTGGCCTTGGCACAGGCAGGGGGGCCCTCCACTTGCACTGGATTCGAAGGACCTTGGGGCCCCTCTCCCTGCTGTGCCATCCGGCTGCAGGGCCCAGGCACCCGGGACGGTCTCCCCGCTCCGCACCTGCCCTGGCTCTGAAACCGTGGCTCCGTCCACGCCCAGGAGGGGCACCTGTCCCCGCGACCCCCTTCCCTCAGACTGCCCGCCCTCCTGCCCTACACCCAGACTTCCGTCTCTTTCCAAATGGGAGCCCCACACTTGAGAGGGCCTCATCTAGAGAGATAAACTCTTTTCCAGAGTATTCCATCTGTTCAAATCAGGGACGGGAGGCCAAGCCATACTCCCTTATTCCTGCGTGTGGGCAGGGACAGGGCTCGAAGGCGCAGAGGGGACGGGCAGCTAGTCCTGGGGACATGGCCGTGACCTGCCAAACTCCGGTCTTCTGGAAAGAAAACTAGCGCCCAAGACCTTTCCCACCGCAGCCGACAACGCCGGCTGCTGCACCGGCCACTGCCCTTTCACCTGTGGGACCCTAATTTGTGTCAATTCCGTGTGACGCCGCCCTCCTGTCTGCAAGGAAAAATTCAGTAGCAAGCTCGCTGAGGACAGGCAGATCCTTCTTTTCTTTCTGGAGGTCAGACTGCACGCAAACACGCGTGCTCATGCCACTTCATGTAAATGAGCGAACAGGGAACACGCACACCCTGCCACCCCAGTCCTGCCCGGCGTGTGCGTGCACGAGCATCTGGGGCTGGGGTCACCCGTCAGGAGGCCCAAGGTCAGGGGCCCTGGAGGCTGCCATCGGCCCCACAAGGAACCCTGCAGGTGGGACAACTGGGGGGTGAGCCAGGGGCACCGTGTCCCCCTGTCCACGAGCACAGGGGCTGAGCGACACTTCGCCCCGTCCCCATCCTCCCAGGGGCAGGAGGGCGGGGCCGGCCCGTCGCCTCTGCCCCGACCTCTGTGCCTGGCCACACGCGTCCCCCGCCAGACACCAGCCCCGGGGACGCGCTCAGCGCAGAGACAGGATGGCCAGAGACACTGAAGGCTGGCTTTTCCGCAGCTTCCAGGATGGCCGGGCTGTGGGGCCGATGCAGGACGCTGTGTTTCAACTCCTGTGATCGAGACCCTGATCTACTTGTGTATGTTTTATGCCTATGCCACACAAGCCCCCACGCACATGCTGGCCTGACACGGGACACTCGCGAGTGCACGTGAAGCAGGGCCGGGCCAACCCAGCCGCCGAGCAGGGCGATGGGTCGGAGGCCGGCGGGGCCCTCGCCCTCCACTTGACTCTGCCCCTCGGGGCTCACCCCACCCGTTGGGGTCCTGAGACGCCCCCTGACGAAGCCCCTAGAGTCCCAGAGCGCTGGGCGCTGAGCCCCTGAGCGCTGGCTCAGACCAGCCCCACAGACCTTTCCGGTGCGCGCCCTGGCTACGAGCCCCGGGGGTCCCGCTCGCTGCTCATTGCACAGCCCCCCCAGGCCGCTCCTCCGTGTCACCCTGTTTGCAGGCGGCTTGGCAAATGCCAGCTGAGGGGTAAATGTCACAGGGCCCCGTCTTCCCGGCGCCCCTCCCTGAGCTCAGCCCCAGGCACACGCTCCCCACCTCCCTGCAGTCCGTGGGCTCCCCCGCGAGGCGGGGCGGGGCGAGCAGACAAGAGCTCCCAGGCCTGGGTCCCTCAGCCCCTCACTACCTACACGGACGAGGAGTTTTATCCAAAAGTCACACCCGCACCCCGTTTCCCTGTCAGCACAGGGGGCGGGGCTGCCGCCTCTGAACACCCCCACGGGGCACAGCGGGGGGGCCCCTGAAGGGAAGACGCCCACCACTCCGCCTCCTCCTCCTCCTCTCTCACTGTCACCTCGCTCAGCTACCACGTGGCCCGTGTCACTGCGCGGGACCTCCCGGGACACTCGGCTTGACCCTCTGGGCCCGGAGGCAAACCCGGGTGTGGGCCTGAGTGTCCAGGGAGGCAGGGGCACGCCCCGAGGGAGGGGACCCGCAGATGGACAGATGCCTGCCCGCTGGAGCTCTGGGGTGGTGGGGTCCTGCTCTCTTCCTCTTCCTCCCGGCCGTGAGGATTCCGTGTAAACACACAAAAGCATTCCCATCGCACTGCCGCCGTCGCAGGGGTGGGGACAGGAGGCCAAGCGAAGACCTCGCTCGGAAACCACTGTCTGATTAGAGGGCGTCGGCAAAGCCTCGTGGGGTGGGGGGGAGCCAGCGTCCTCTCGGGGGCTGGCGCTACCCCGGCTGGGGGAGGGGGATGGTTTTCCAGCTGCGGGGCAGACGAGGATTCCCATGGCCGAGTCTCTGACGCGGGGGTGTGCGTACGAGAGCGAATGCACTGTTTTCATCTCATGAACATGCTCAGCAGAGCTTCGAGGAGAGGACCTACTGTGTGCCTAGCCCAGGCCGGTTCGCAGGGCCCGGGCGTGGAAGCTCCTCACTTACCGTGCGGGGCCCGCAGCACCCCGTCCGCCAGGGCGGGCCCCAGACCCGCGGGCTCCGTGAGGCCAGGGCCACGGCTCCGGCGGCATCCAGACCGCAGGCCCCGGGCTGGCGCGGAGGAGAGTGGCCCTGCCAGCTGAATGTGTGTGTTCGTGAACAGAGACGTGTGCTGGGCCTAAGGAAGTGTCGCCGTTGCAGGAAAAGCAAGAAACTCACCCCAAACCAGGGAGGAGGAGCCGGGCCAGTCAGGAGGAGCCAGGGGGCCGTCCAGAAGGAGGGCTCGGTCCAGGGCGGTGGTCCTCGGGGGTGGGGGGCTCTTCTGCCTCTTGCTTCCGGCTCTTCAGCCGACCCAGCCGAGGGTCAACCCTGGGGAGGGACAGGAGGTCAGGACACGGCCATGCCGGCGGCCCGAAAGAGCCACACGAGTTCCAAGGGAAAGCCCAGAGCCCAGCCTCACCTGGGGCCTGGCTCTCGGTGCAGGGAGGTGGCTCACGGCGAGGAGCAATGCCGCCGGGAAGAGCTTGGGGCTGGGCTGGCCTGGGGTGGGCAGAGCCCGGCGCGCAGGGGCAGGGCGGGCTGCGGGAACACCTGCGCGCAGGACGACAGGGGTCTGTGGGGGAAAGGGCGGGCGCAGGGCCCTCGGACCCCGGGACCCCGGGCCAGTGGGGGGAGGAGGCACTGGAGGATGGTAGGGGGAGGTGGCCGACCGGCAGGGGATTGTCCCTCGGGCCCTGGAGACCTGTGGGCAACCGGGGCAGCACCGGGAGGGGGGCGGGGGGGGTGGTGGCTCCATGGGCTGGCGGGGGTGGGGGGTACTTAGGGCCAGAGGCAAGAAGGTGAAAGGTGGCTGAGGCGGCAGGCGGGGCCAGGTGGCACAGGTGTGGACTCGGCACAGCAAACTGCCCCGTGAGACAGAGGGCTGCGCAGCAGGGTGACCTGGGCACAGAGAAGGGGCGGCGGGTCAGGCCGAGCAGGAGACTGAGGCAAGCGGAGGTCCGGGGGGCACCCGACCCGGACAGTGGGGGCCAGGCAGGGGCCCCAGGCAGCACGGGCGGACAGGCAGGCAGCCGGGCAGGGGCGCAGCCCGCAGAGCTCCCTGGAGGTTCCCGGCCACTGTCTTTTGCTGGAGGCCAAAGGAGTGGGGTTTTGCCCCAAAAGGAGGAAGGTTATCATGGAGGGAGGGGTCCAGGTCGCAGACCCCAACTCAAGAGGGAGACCTGTGTGGCCAGAGCCCCAGGGGACGCACACCACTGTTCCGGGTCCCCAGGAGCCGGCGCTCGGCTGCAGGCTGAGTGGGGGGGGCAGGGAGGACGGGAGGGGCGGGCCGTGCCACGGGTCCCCAGCCCCCTCGCACCGTCTGACCTGCCGCTGCGGGGCAGGAGTCACTCACTGCCCCGGTGCTGGGACAGCAAGGCTGTGTCCTCAGCAGAGACCACCCCCCGGCCCATCGTCCCGGGGGCAGAGGCCATCAAGGGACAGGCTAGCGTGGCGGGTGTCCAGTCCGGGGCCGGGCGGTGGGCCTGCTCAGTAAGGATCAACTGTTGAATGACGGGATGGACGCACGAGTGAAGGAAGGGGCGAGACTGGCGAGGCCCCGCTCCAATGGGGCTCGGGGAGGGGCGGTGCCCGCTCCGCCCTAGACAGAAATCAGTCCCCCACCCCTTTGACCTGCCTCTGGCCCCCAGCATCCCCTCTAGCAGCCTGAGTGTAAGTCCAGGTCCTTCATTGACTCGTCTGTCCAAACTGACATCCCACATACTCTTACTGAACCCCACATGGTGCCAAGCTGGTGCTGGGACACCCAAAGGAGGTGTGGGCTGGCCTAGGGCACCCCGGAACACCAGAGTAGGGAGGGGTGAGGGAGGGGTGAGGGAGGAGAGCAGGCGGCACAGAGAACAGAGGCAGGGACAGTGGGACAGTCACAGCAGAGAAGCAGAGCTCACGGCCTAGCCTCCCAGGCTGACTCAGTGACCAGTGTCAAGACCAGGGGGCCCTGAGGGTTGAGGGGGGCCAGCACAGGGGCCCCTGGGGGTTGGGGGGGCCAGCACAGGGGGCTCTCTGGGACCTCTGGCCTGGAAGAGTGGGACGCAGGCGTCCCTTGAACACGGGCACATGCGTGGGCGCCGCACCTACACTCAAGGCAGCCATGGGCTCAGACCCCTCTGCTGACAAGCTCAGGAAAGCTCAAGATGGGCCACTCATGTCTGGAAACCCACGTGGGGGCCTCGCGGCTGGGTCCCGAGGGCCTGGGGCTGGGATGCTCCTTACTGGGACGGGTGGGGAGGCAGCAGGGGCCTGGAAGCTACTTTTCCTTTTTAAATGCACCCTCTTGCTTAGAAGCACCAGGAACTATTCTGTGATTTCACTCTCCCGTCCCCTGGTCTGGGCGACCCCCGGGTCGCCCCCAGAAGGTGGAAGGAAGTCCTTCCGCGTCTTCACCGGGGAGCCAGAGGGCACGGCTCTGCTCGCAGGGGGAGGGCGGAGCTCTGACCCCCGCCCTCGGCGGACAGAGAAGTTAAGGGAGGCTCCTGAGTTTTCTTCCACTCGTTTTCTTGCTCCAACTGCCTTGCTTAGTTTGTCTGTCTGTGTGTCTGTTTGTCCCTTTCCAGTTTGGCTGCAGGTCTACTCAGAGACTGGCAGTTAGTCGCCTCGCCTGTCTCGAGTGAGAAACGTCCCGAACTGGGGGGGATGCACAAGGGCCAGTGTCAGGCGGGAGGCCCACTGGCCAGCGCAGATGGGAGCGGAACCTCCCTCTGCGGGACCTGGATGGGGCGTCCCACGCCTCTGCGATGACCCTGCAGGGGCTACACCTAGGCCTTGGCACTGGTCTACCCTCCAGTGGGCTTGTTTCGAAGCGTCCAGGGGGTCCTGACACGAGTCAAGAGCGTGCTGGGCCCCGGGAGGACAGGCCCCCCACGGAGGTGGCACCCCTGCCTGGCGCACCTGTCTGCCTGCCTGTGGGCCCCGTCCCCGGAGCAGCCTTCCACCTCCAGCCCCTCTCCCCGGCCTTGAATGGGGAGCAGGGGGAGCCGGGGCCCCGGGCCGGAGACCACAAGTGTGGGCTCCGGACCGTGGCCCCTGCCCCGCGGACGCCACTCCGCCTCATTATGGTAATCAGTGTTTTTTCCCTCGCAGACAAAGACGGCTCCTTGCGAGAGGAGCGCCGGAATCCGGCAGCCGCCTCATTAGCGTCCGAGGCCTCTTCCTTGAGGAGGCCGGAGCCCAGCCCCGCGTCCGTTCGTTAGGGGGAAAGGGCGGAAAGTGGAAGAAAAGTGAAAAACGCGGCTGGGGGGAGGGAGCGGGCCCTTTCTGTGGGCCATTCATTCCCTGAAAGACTTCGGGCACCTTTTGGGATTTAATCAGCAGCCCAGGGCCAGGGGTCTCATCGGGGTGAGGGAGGTAAAGAGGTTAAACTCGATAGGAGTTACAACCACCGCCCCCCCCCCCCCCCGCCCTGCAACTCGGGGCAATTTGATTTGAAAGCTTCCTGGGATTTGTCACTAGGGTAATTAATTTAAAACTTTTTTTTCCTGTTTGTTTTAGCCCAACCTGACACCAGGGGAAACCTTTCTCAGGACGTGCTTTCGGGAGCCGTTGATATTCCCTAAGTCGCCCTTCCCCGCTCCCTTGCCTTTCCGCGTCTTTTTCTCATGCTTTTCGCCTTCCTCTCCCCCCTCCCGCCCCCTCCCTTCTCCGCTTCTTTCTTCTCTCTGCGGTCCTCCCCGTGGGAACCTAACCTGTAAGGGAATCTGATGGAGACTCTAATTATATTTTCTCACAAATACTTTAATGACCTTATTTCAAGCCCCTCCAAGAGTGTCCGGTTCTTACCTGCGAGATAATCCCACCTGACCTGCCAAGCTAACATTATTAACTCTGTTTCGCAACTGAGACCGGGTGGCTTGGGGGAAAAAAAAAACTGACCCCAGGGCCCTCGCACTAGGTGGGCTTGACCAGGGCTCCCACGTCTGGGGCAGGAAGGCAAGAGGCAAGTTCCAGAAGCGGGGCCCTCTGGACCTGCGAGGTCCCGAGGGGGAGAAGCTAAGACCTGGGGGCGCCGGGAGCAGGCGTCCCGGGGACTTGCACAGGGAGTATGCGCCCGGGGCCATGGGCCGGGGCCCTGGAGCTGCGTGAGAGGCCGGCTGGGAGTGTGTCAGGTGTCTGTGTGTCCCTGAGCCGGAAAGGTGTCCGAGTGTAAGCGACAGAAAGGTCATTACCTTAGCGAGAGCCGCCCGACGGAGCAGAGAGGGCAGGAGGCAGTGGGCTGAAGAGGAAATGGAGGTGAGGAGGGAAGACAGCAAGTGCAGACAGGCCTTGGAGAACCTTGGCTGCGGAAGGAAAGAGAGAGACGGTAGTGGCCAGAAAGGAGGCGACAGGAGGAGCCCGGGAGGCTCAGGCTGCGGAGAGAACAGTTAGGAAGTTGAGGGGGGGCGGTAGAGGAGTGACCGGTGCACGAGACGCCTCTTCCTTGCCAACACGAGAGGCCACAGGGGTGCGAATGTGCCGTGTCCCCAATCGGAAGGGCCGCTTGACGGCTCTGTGCCCTCGGGAGGAGGCAGGCCAGCCCCGGGTCGGGACAGGGAGTTGTGAGGTTCCAATGAACTGGCAGCTGCAAAACGGCCTTTGCTCAGAGCACAAGGAGTCGTGAAGGTTCTCGGCGGCCGCTCGCCGGCAGTGGGCAGCCGGATTTCACAGCCCACGCCAGGGCTCACGGGGGCCTGCGTTCCACTGACCGTGAACTATGCGTCCTTACATTAAGGAGGTAAAGAGTGCTGGTGAAAGGTCCGCCAGCCTCTGGAAGACAAAAGGTTCCCGCCTAATAGCCTGGATTAGCTCCAAGCAGGTCTCCGCCCACTTCATTCGTCACCTTCCAAGTCACCCTTCCACCTTCATTTGCCATATAATCCAATCAGGCCCTTTCAGAGGCCCGGGAGCCATTGTCCACGCCAAGCTGGGCTTCTCAAAGGGGCCTGAGTTGTTTTGTCTTGTCTGGACAAAACTGGTTAGCTTAAAAGGGGACGAAAAAAAAAGTGCCGGTGAAAGGAGGGTCCCAATTAGCCTCCGAGAGACTGTTTGCACCATCTTTGTATCACAGACCAGGCCTGGTGCGCTGGGCATATTGTGGGAGTTTCCAGAAAAGGTTTGTCGGATTGATTCTGTTTTTATTCGTTTCGAAACTCCTTTCCTGAGCGCAAACACTCACAGCACCTACTGGGTGCTGGCCCAGTCATGACGAGAGAGGACAGGGCTGGGCATGCACACGGTGAGGGACGAGCTCGGCCGGTGAAGGACCCTGCAATTTCCACAGCGATTTACAAAGCACTTTCCTAGTCGTTTCAGCGTTTGGTCTTCAAAAGCACCCTGTGGGGCAGCTGAAGGCGGGCGGGTTTTTTGTTTTGTTTTGTTTTGTTTTAATCCTCATTTAGACCATGAAAGGCACGGAGACCTGGAGGAGTTAAGCGACTGGTGTAAGGTCACACGGTTATTGAGAGGTGCAGCCAGCACAGGGGAGCGGCACTGGGGCCACCCAGACCCCCAAGACCACCCTGGGCAGTGGGGCGTTCAGACAGACTGTCCCAACAGTCTGACGCGTGATTGGAAATCAAAGCTCTCGGCCTCCACGCTGGGCCGGGGGGGTAACGGGCAGCTCCAGTGTCACCCGGGGTCCAAGTCGGACCCCTTGTCTTGCCGGCAATGCGACAAAATACTTACATTCCTCCAGCCTCGGTGCCCTCACCGTAATTGTGAACGAACCCTGTCCCGTAGGAGGGGTGGCTCCGTCCCCGCCCACCTTTTTAAAATTGCTCGCCAATGCCGAATTCATCCCCCTCTGGGAGGATGTGTGTCTGGTCACGTGTGCCTGACACGGAAATGACATATGTGGACGACACAGAAAGTGCTCTGGAAATGACCACATGCATGATTCACGTTCCTATATTCAAGTCAGCCCATCACCCTTGCTGGCGGCGCCCCTACCTGTGCCAGGAGAGCCCCGGGCAAGGGGCGTCGAAGTGCTGTGGGAGAATAAACGAGAGGCGTTAAGACGAGTGACACACACGGGGATGGACTGACCTACCTACCGAGCCTTCAACACACATCTGTCGGCCGCCTCCTGGATGCCCAGCCCTGCCGCCCCGGGCCACTTCGGGTCACTGGACACTCACAACAACCCTGGGAGGCTGCTCTTCTCACCACCACTCCCCAGAAAGGACGGGGAGGTCCCCGGACAGGCGGGGATGCCCGCGGCGTCAGGGCTCATGCTCGTTCCAGAAGCCCCCCGGGCCTTGGAACCGCCGGAGAGACGCTGGCGGAGCCCTCGGCCCAGGTCCCCCTCCTGAGAAGTCCCCGGAGGGATCCTTCCGTGCGGGACGTCATGTGGGCACCCACAGGGTCAGCGGAGGAAGACGGGCCCCCCCTCGGGGAGGGGAACACTCCAGGTCGCTGTCACGTTGACACAAGCAGAGACTCACAGGGAAGCACTCAGAGCGAGAGGCACAAGCACAGCAGAGGTCGGGGGTGGGGGCCAATGCCCCCTCACTAGGGCATTGGTTCAAGCCTTTCGTCAAGACAGCAGCTGGCTGGCGGGGCGGGGTCCTCTTCAGCTTCCGTCGTCCTGATCCGGGGTGGGGGTCTCTGCCAGGGGCTGCGTGGCGTGCTGGTGGGAGCCCGGGGGCCGGCACTCCTGCGTCCTCTGCAACGGGGGCAAGGTTAGAGGGCCCACTTAAAGGTCCCGACCTAGGTATGAATTAAACCTTAAATGAGTTAATTACAACTAAAACGAATTAGTTACCATTTAAAGTTGTCCTTTAAATAAATACTGGCGGGCCTGGGGGTGGCGGGAGGAAGGCGGCAGTGGGGGGATCCGGCCGCCAAGCCGTACACACGCCGCCACGAGGAGGGGGCGCGAACCGTAGGGTGGAGCAGCGAGCACCTTGGCGGCGGCTGGCCATCAACAGGTGGTCCTCGAAGACGAGGAGGTGGACGGTGACTTCATCCCTGAAGAGAGAACCTGTGGCCGGGGAGGGGGCCGGATTAGAAACCATCCTGACGACCTCTGCCGGCCAGCACAGGAAAAGCAGAGAGAGGGAGGGGGTGGTCAGAGGGAAAGGAGGGGGGAATGGGAAGGAGGGGGAGGGGTCAGGAGGGAGGAGGGAGGGGTATGGGGGGAGGAGCAAAGGGAGAGGAGGGAGGGAGGAATGGGAGAGAGAGGAGGGGGAAGGAGGGGTGAGGAAACCAGGAGGGGAGGGGGCAGGAGGAGAAGTGGGAGGGGTTAGAGGGAGAGGAGAAATGGGAGGGGGAGGAGGGGGAGCAGAAGTGGGAGGGCGGCGGGAGAGACGTGAAAGGGGAGGAGGGAGAGAAGTGGGAGGGGGTAAGGAGGACTTGATTGACAAGCCCCAAGTGTTAGCCGTGTGCGCATGCGCAACCTCAAGCCCAGTTTGGCGGGCCGAGGACATTTGCAGGCATAGACCGCTAGGGGGCGCAGTCAGCACCCATAGCCCAAGAGCACACCCACCTGCAGCGCGCGCCTCTGCGCGCGCGCAGCAAGAGCCTCTAGCGCCCCACCCGCGCCTGGCCCGCAGCTGCCAGGGGCAACAGCTGGCAGAGGATGGGCGGGGGGCAGCCCAACAGGTCTCAGACTAGGAGGATGGGCACGGTCCACCCCTAGCCCAACGCACAGGCCACTATGTCCCCTAAAACGCATGCCCACCGTCACCAGCCAGAATCCACCTGTGGCAGCAACCGCACGCAAACGCCCAGAGGCCCTTTGGTGCCGCACAACTGGGGGGGCACCTGAGATATCAAGAAGACAGTCCCCTAAGGGTCTTTCCAGAACATGATTCCACTTTTAATAAGTAAAAATACAGAAAGCTTGGCCTCGACCTTCAGTAAATCCAATTAAACATAAGTTAATTAAAATTAAAAAGACCAAGTTCTCAACACAGCGTTCTCACTCATATCTGTGGTCTCTGGACACATGATATAAAATATGAAATCGCTAGAAAATGATATGAAGACAGCCAAAACCACCTAACGTCATCAGACCACCATTCCCCCCCGCCCCGCCCCCGCGCAATCTCATCTCCCTTTTTTATTGCAAGCATTCCAAGACCCCTCACGACAGCGTCTAATTAACTATCTTATGGCCTCTTCATCCTGCTCAAATGAACCACACCCTCCTAAGACCCCCAAAAACCAAAATCGAAATTAACTAACCCGCGGCCACGCACTTCCACGACCCTCTGATGGTCACAACCACTGCGTATCACGGCATCGCTGCCCAGCGCGAACCCTGCGGCCGCTCCCCAAGGAGCCTAGGGGTCTTAAAACATTCCCCCCCTAGGTAAATAGATCTAGAATTCTCCAGTAAATCTCAAGCCTGACCCCCTCTAGCAGAAGAACAAAGGCCACCTCCCCTCCCCACCCCGCCCCCCAAAATTCCGCAGTGCCATCAGCGCCCTCTGGCGGCCATCAAGAGAACATTCCAGAAACCTGCCACGTAGCAACCCGCTAGCGCCCCCCCACACAGCCCGCCAGCCCTGAGTGGGGAGGGGGTGGCATGGGGGGGCTAGACAGGGACAAAGGAAATGGCAAAAGGCGACTATCAAAAATCGAAAGCCCACAACACATCAGAATCTTCCAGAGACCATCGCGCCATGCTGAAAGGAGCCCCCGACCCCCAATTCCCAGCTCCCAGTGCCCAGAACCCCCCCCAACACACCCTCTTCTCTGTATTTTTCTCTTTCCTCTTGCTTCCCAGACCCAAGGACATGGCCCACTCTTCACACCAAGCCATCCCTCCCTCTACTCTGCCAGTACCCCCAATTGCTTGACCCCCTCCCGCCGCCCTTCCTACAGAACTGATCCTAGGGGGCTTCTGGCAGGTTTGCGCTTGAGCGCCATCTCTCTCCACCGTTAAGGAGGTTTGTCGGGGTGGAAACAGATGATAGCAGTTAGAAATTTTACTCTTAATTTTCGTGCAGAGTCGGCTCCGCACTAAACCTGTATGCCTGCACTGGGAATCCCTCCCGGGTAGGAACCTCTACTCCTCACGCCCACGGGCAACCAAGAAGCTGGCCACAAACTGGGGGGGCGGGGGGGACGATATACCCAGGAGACCCTTCTCTTTGGGTGCTTTCCCCTGTAATCTGTGGGGCACACAGGATGCATCCGCCGCCATATCTCCCACCATTCGTGATCCCGAAGGTAGTTCCTCCAACACGGAAAACCTGGGTTTTGGACCCCGGTGACTGCGGGACATGGGATTCCAACATGGGCTTGGTCTGATTCCTCCCGCTCCTCTTAATCTGAGCCCCCACCACCCTGCCTACCCTCAAGGGCTGGACAAGAATGAGGCCCTGATTCCTCCCCCCACCAAGAAAAAAAAAAAAAAAACAATGTGCCTCGCGATTTTTCTTTCGGACAGTATTTCGTGGCCGACGCTCGCGACCAGGCGAAGTGGCCACCTTCGGGAGAAGGTCCCGGCGTCTGTCCTCCGGCATGTCCAGGAGGACAGAGACCGACTCAGACGTGGGGTGTAGCCTTCTTTTTGCACATCCTTCCTGACAAGGATGGCCAACCACGTACCTGATGGGTAGATTCTCGCGTGGGCGCCCCGGTTCTTCGGGAGGAGCTGCGGCCAAGGCCTGCGAGCCAAGGCGCGCTCCATCCAGCTCTCCGCCGTCTGCGCTAGGGGCTGGCTGGGTGGGGTTTATATGGAAGCGCAGAAGGGGTGGTCTCTGACGTCAGCGCATTCTGCTGCAATGCGCTCATTTCTCCAAAAGTGATTGGCCGGAAAAATGAGCCCCCCAGATTCTATGACAAATTGCTCTAGCCGCACCCAGATTGCAGCAAAGAAGGGAGGAAAAAATTCTGCCGCAGTGCCCCTAGCCGCCATGACCAACACCCTGTGCTCGCTGGTGTTTCTTCCCCTCTACGAGCCCCGCTCGCCGAAGCAGGGTGATTCGTGTGCACAATTTGCTGGGAGAGTGGAGGCAGGGATTTTTTTTTCCCCCCTCGGGCTGGCCGAGGGCGAAGCTGGGCTGCAGGGGCAGCAGATCACGCACCTGGAGGTTTCGGAACCTCTATGGGAGGATGCGTCTTAGGGAAAGAAAATGATGTTTTCTGCTTGTTGTCCTGGAAAATAAAATCCACGGGCAACATAACTGGTACCCAAATGTAAGTCGGCGGCTGTCACCCCCTCTTAGCCCACCCATCCGTTTCTGATTGGTTACCTTTGACACGGGATACTCAGCACAGCACCTTCGACTAAGGGGCGGAAAAAACGGTTTTTGAGTCCCGGCTCTGCCGCCGACAACCTGTGTGTGCACCCAGAACGCTGCAGTCTCCCTGCCTCCGCAAGGGGGTCCGTTTCCTCTACGCTAACCAGAGGTGCCCCCTAACGGGGTTGTAATAAGAACCTATGCAGGAGCCCTGTTCCTCTAGGGAAAGTACTTTTCTAGGTCCGTGTCCCAGCTGGAGAGGCATGGGGTACCCCCCCATTGAGGTGATTTCCGCACACGTACACTTTGAAAACCGCCCCCCCCACCCACACACACACATGCACCTCCCCGCACCACCCCGGGGAGACAGGCAGCGACACATGTTGCGGCAGAGCGTGGCCGCGAGGCCTCGCGCGCGGGACTTGGCACCGGAGATTCGATCCTTAACAGGTGGCGCCTTCGGCAGCTCTGCCCCGGGCACCCGTGGTAAAGCGGGCAGGGCCGTCAATCAAATGTCCTCTTGCAAAGGTCAAAACGCTGCTGAAAGGGACTAAGGATCTATCTTAGGGTGACAGGTGGGTGGCAGCCGGGAGGGCAAGGATGAGGCGCCTGGTGACAGAAGAGGGGTAGGAATGAGTGATGGGTCCCGCAGGGAAAAGGGCAGAGGGGCCCCGCGGGGCTGTCCCATGAGAACAGCGCCCCCACACTTCTTGAAGGGGCTGCAAAGCAGCTGCGCAGAGAACCCCCCCCCCACAGGCCCAGTTGTCCTGCGAGGGCGCCAACACCCAGACGGGGCCCTCCGGGGCTGCGTGGAAGGGACAAGGCTCTTTGTAAGGCCAACCGCTGGTGACGGGGGGGGGGGGGGTGAAAGGGGACCACCAGGCCACAGGAGGCCCGGGACCTTGAGCGGGGGGCTCGTTTGTAGATGCACAGCACATCTGGGGAGATGAGGACAAAGTGGGCTTTGGGGCTCATGGCCGGGAGCCCCCTAACATGTCAGATAATGTGAAGGAGACTGAGAGCACCCCACTGACCGCATGGGGAGCAGGCAAGGCACCCCAGAGACTGGAGCCCCCACCCCCCAGCAGGACATGCGAGGCCGAAAGGCCCACACCAACGAGGGACGTCAAGAAAGCCTCAAAAAATCATGGCTCCGAGCATCCCAGTCAACAGAAGAACGTTTATTAGCCATGGTATTAATAGCTAGGAAACAGCCGGAGCCGGCGGGGACCAATCAGTGGCCAGGAGCCCCTGTCGTCAAGCCCGCGCGACCAATCAGACACCAGCAGGCCGGGTTGCTAGCCTCCCGGGGCAGAGGCGAGGGGCGCGCATTGTCACGGGGGCTCCCACTCGCCCTGCCTGCGTGGGAGGCCTGCGTGGGAGCCCAGGCAGACACCAGAGAGCGTCACTCGTCACGCACTCGGGGTCCCTGGAGTCTGTCTTAAACACAGTGCCTTCTGGCATCAGCTCCGCAGCCCTAAAGATCGCGAGCTGACACTCTGGGAGGAGCCCCCGGCCTGGGTTGGGGCGCCCCTGGGAGGCCCTGTGGAAGGAGAAACTCCAGACATGCAACGCGCATCTCTCCCTTCCAGGCTGGGCCCCGCGAGGGGAGCGGGGCCTCCCAGTGCCAAGTCAGCCGCTCTGCTTTTTTTTCTGGACTCCCTGGCTCCCCCGCCTGCTGCTCCGAGGCTCCCAGCACAGCCCACTCCTCTTTCTCAGGGTCTTACTTCACTGACGGGCCAGGGCAAAGGACCCTGGAAATGCCGTGTGTCTGACAAAAGTGTGGCGGGTTTGAATCCCGGCTCTGCCCCCTCCTCGCTGGGAGGCTGAGGTCCAGGCCCTTCTCTCCGGGCCTCTGTTTCTTCATCTGGAAAAAGGAAAGAGTTGGACAAGATGGTCCCCAAGGAGCCTTGCAGTCCTGCTCTGCTTGATTTGAATGTATACATCAGGCGAGTCAAATGTCTTCCAGAACATTGTGCATGACAGTAATTAGTATCAGGTGTGCCCTGCAGCCCATGTGGTTACTTCATCACTCTGCTTTTCTTTCCATTGTATTTTATTTTAAACAGAACTCCATGGCAACATGTGTATCCTTCTGGCTTCCTTAAAGAAAGGAAGAAAAGAAAGGGAAAGATAGAAGAAGAAAAGGCCAAGAGGAAAAGAAAAGGCTGCTGCAAACAAGTCCTGTTGAGCCTAGTTTAACCACAATACCCAAAAAAAAAAAAAAAAAAAATCCATATGCTTAAATGTTTTCGTTGGCTTTTCTGGAGCTCAGAAACTAACTTTTAAAATATTTATTGGTCCGAAGCAATGGGCGATACGGCTTGAAAGAGCCAGTCTATGGTAACCGTGGGGTCCCACCCGTTTCTTAACCGGAGAGGGGCCGGGCTTGCCCTTCCTGCGGCAGAAGACACGCGAGGGCGCAGATCCGTCTCCGCGGGGCAAGACGGACCAGGAAATCCAGGTGGAGAGGCCGCTCGCTCTCGCCTCCGTGCGTGCTGAAACCCAACTCTCCTGAAGAGCCTGGAGGGAAGCCAGGGTCCCAGACGCTGGGCTCAGCCCGCTGCTTTTTTTTTTTTCCACGTAGATCTAATTCAAAGCACACATTTTTCTCCTTTTTTTTTTAAAATTCATACTTGGGAGCCCTCAAAAGCCATGTGAGCGGCCTCCTATCCACATGTACATACTTGCGGGCGGGCGTACAAGCGTCCTCAGATTCAGCCAGGAAATGGAGACAAGGTCCCTCCTCTGCCCCTCTCCCAGGCTCAGGGGCTCTCTTCTCAGAACCGAACTGAGAGCTTTTTACAAAACGGCATCCCGTAGGCTGGCTGTGCCTCTCTGCAGGCTTTCCCGGACTTCTGGGTACCCCCCCAAAAAATTGTCACGGTCCCCAGAGATCTCTCCGGGGCCCTCCTGGGCACAGCCATGGGACGGCAGGAGTAAGGCTGACCGTGCCTGCTGCTTCCTAATCTCTGCGCCCGCTTGCAGGGGCTGGGCTGGGTGTCCAACCACAGTCCCATCTTCTGGGGGCCCCGGGACTGACGGAGGACCCTCTAGAACGCACAGCGAGGCTCAGAGCCCCTCGGGAACTTGATTGCCTTCAAAATAAAGTCTAACCTCTTCAGTTTGGTATTTAAGGACATGCGCGATGGGCTTCCTTTTCCTTTCCATTAACTTATCCCAATTCAGTTCATACCCGCAGGCCTTCGAGTTGGATGTCGTGAGGGTCCCGTGGCCCTGGGGCTGGGGCATGAAGAGGACTGGCGCTGCCTGTGTCCTTCTGGGCTTCTCCTACCCGGGCCCCCCACATCCGGAGCGCTCTGCTCCCCTGAAACCTGGAGTGGGTCTGGATGCAGCCCCAAGCTTTGCAGAGAGGCGTTTGCCAAACTGTAGATGTTAAAAGGCAACTAAAATTCAGCCCTTTGCAAAAGGCCAAGGACAAAGATTACTTCCTGGTAGGCTGCTGGGCCCCCAGGCAGCACACGTGTCCTTTGACCCCGTGGTCCGAGGTGTGCGGGAGAGGGGGAGCGGGGCTCCTGAGGGGACATTCGTCGTGACTGGAGCCAGCGAGAAAGACCCGGAAGGTAACACCCCCAATTACACCCTCCTACCTCTGAAACACCATTAGTTGTTCAGGGCAAGTCGATTCTGGTCATTTTTCTTGTGCTTTTATGGATTTCTCTACTGGCATATGTTGGTTTTATAATGTACACTTTTTTAAAAAATGCAACAATCCAAGAACACTGACCGTTTCAGCCTCTTCCTTAGGGACCTCAAACATGCACTATTTTTCTAAGTAAATAAAAATCCAGAGACTCAGGACACCCCTCCTAAGAAGCTCAAGGCACGGTCCCCAAAGGAGACTGAAGCTCGGGGCTCGAAGGGGCCTGGGGGCGGCCCCGCACCCCGCGGGGCCTCTCGGCGAAGCGCTCTCGTGAACCTGCGTGGAGGCGAGCGGCTCCAAGCTGGGAACAATGACAACAAAAAATGAACTTTGTTGGTTTCGTGCCTGCAGGAGGGGCCTAGAAAAATCCATTTACTAAGGGGCTGAGGCCGGCCAAGAACGGGGTCTTGGCGAGGCAGGCCCCGAGCACGGGCTGGGCTTTAGAAGAAGTCACATCCTGATACTGGGGAAATGTGGCCACGTCGCCGCACCCCGCCCGCGCAGGGCCCCCCAGCCTTGGGCGTGGGCCAGCCCCGGATTCAGGCAAGGGGTTTTCTTGGCCCAACTCCATGGAAATATTTCCTCCGGTGGGGCAAAGAACTGCTTCATTCAACTGCCTGCGGCTAGGGAGGGGGCTGGCTTTGCTGTGTTGACAGAGAGCAGCAAGGCCTGGGGAGGGGCCCTAGAGGAGAAAATGTATTCCAGGTAGAACAGGACTGGAAAGTTTGCTTTAAAAACCACCTAAAAGATTGCTGACAGTTGAAAAACCGCCACCCCACCCAAGAGGCCCCGAGAGAAGACATTTGTTTGCACTGGATTCCAGGGAGGCCTGCAGCCGGGCCTGTCTCCCTCGCGGCACAGGGAAGGGGGCCGCTTCTGGGCACGCTTTCAGTTCAAACATTCGAGGCCTGGATCCTTCCAGAGCCCGCAGCCACCCTCGCCGGGCCAGGCCTGGGGGCGGCCGCGTCCCTGCGGACCCGGAACCTGCCAGCTCACCAGCGGGGAGACGAGGGCACCCCAGGGGGGGGCTCTGCGGTCAGGGGCCCCGTGCACAGGGAGGCAGGGCACAGGTTTCGGGATAGGGGGGCACACGTCTTCCCTCCTTCATCGACCCCAAGTCCCTGAGGTGCGGCCCAGAAGCTCATCCGCAAAGGAGAGGCTTGGGGGGGACGCAGAGTGTCTTCACGGAGAGACGGGACGGTGCCTCCCACCGCCTCGCGCCGTCCAGGGCGTGAGAGGAGAGGAGAGGCCAACCAGGGCACGGCGTGGCTCTCGGGCAGCGCCACTGCGTGCAGCGGCCCCGGGCTGCCCTGCGTTGGTCACACCTGCTGCTCCTGGCACCTGGATGGAGGGCATGACTTCACCGAGTCCCTCGGCAGGCTGCGGGCTCTCTCTCCCAGCTCTCGGGGGGACCAGCAGTCCTGCCTGGAGGGGGAGGGTTTGGGCCCTGAGATCAGGCCTCAGGTGCCAGGCTACTGGCTACCTGTGTGGCTTTGGCTTGGCTGTTTCGCCTCTCTGAACTTCACGTTCACCGTCCCTACAATGGGGATAAATGCGCCCTTCAAGTGAGAAGATGGAGCGGGCGGAGGGAACCGTGTACGGTGCGGGGGTGTGGAGGACAGTGGAGGGAACGCTGTCACCAGCAGTGTGGCAACTGTGGAGGGAGCCAGATGGGGACTGGAAATATCGGGGGGCCCTTTGCAAAGTGTGTGGGTGCCCGACACAGGCAAAATAACACCGAGTGTCAGCTGCAATTGAAAACAAGAGAAAATAAAGAAATGGCATAAAAATAAAAGTCATCCTTCCGTTAAAAGGTCCCCCCTTGGCTCCCCCCTTCTTCTTGTGAACCCCTTCTATTTTGCACAGCCCTCACAGGGCCCTCCTACTCGCTAGACAGGATGCTGCCCCATAACAAAGCCAAAAAAAAAAAAAAAACCCCGCAAGCTGGGTTGCATCCACCACGTGTCCCAGCTATACAAAATGGAGGGAGTGAGGAGACCTTCTTGGTTTCGATCCTGTTTGCATTTATTTTATAAGAAGCATCCATTTCTTTTGTAGCTTTAGGAAATATATACATCGAAGATGACCACCAGGTCACAGAGCAAAGGCACCCGGACGCCCTGCTGCCGACACGCCCACGCCTGTCTCCGTGCCCAGGGCGGTCTCGAACACCACTCTCTCCAGGCGGCGGAGCCCTGCAGACCCCCGGACAGGCCCTGGCGGGCCCCGCCACCGGTCAGAGAGAACAGAGAACCAGGCTGCCCACTTGCAGCCCCTTTGCTGAGCCTCGGGGCGGGGGCCCCCAGCACAG